CACTTCTTCCCCCCCCTCCCCCTGACCACTGTCTGCAGTTCACATTCCAAATGTCCCGAGCCTATTCTTCGGCCACTAAACGTGGCGCTTACAATACACATATCCTTTGACTTGACTGCCTTTCTATCCTATCGCATCACCAGCTCATGGCTGTGCTCCCGGGCGCGATTACATCTTTGCTTTCACCTTGCTCATTTTCCTCTGTTTGTTTTTTGTGGGATACTTTGTTTGAGTTTATGACTGAAAATGAGACTTTTGTACAGTAAGCAAAAGGCTCTTTTGATTTCGGGGAGAAGGGCTAAAGCGGTCTATTAAAAAGCTTCTGCTGGCAAATGCCGTAAAGAAAGTCACATAGCGAGATTAACCTATTTCTTTCTTCGGAATGTCTTCTACTCATCTACGGTAAAATATATCTCTTTCGGGTAGATCTTTTAGGTATCCTTTGCGGCAAACCAGATGATTTTTATCCGCCTTAAAATACCGACGATCGGTTGGTTTTGTCTTACTCTCCACCACAAGGGCAGGTTGTTCCTCAGTGACAACCAACTTCCTCCAAACCCAGTTTTTTTCTATCCTGCCCTTAGATTTAACTACTTGGTTAGGGGTGACGTACAAAATGTCTTGACTGGGGCTCATTGTCGGCGTCCGATAATTACCTAACTCACTGAACGACTAGTCTCCCCACCCTCTGCAATCGATCGTTCGAAATTCTCGGTAGCGTCTTCTTAAGGCCAAATCTACTTGAACCGCAATTCCCAGGAATGTTGAGTTTCTTGAAGCCGCCTGCTAGCAACGTCCGCGGATTTTCCCTTGTTGTAGGGCGAAATATGTTTACGGTCCATGCATACAGCCGCAAGCCGATAGCATTCATCGATTGTTGGTCTCCCTGCTATGTGGATATCGGCGTGGGCTCTAGACTGGTACACCAAACCTAAACACTATCGCATCCATGCGATCTGTATTGCAGACGACAGAACTTGAGTCGATGGTTCACTAATAAAACACTTGACTTAAAGCCCAATGACCAAAGAGCTCTGCACGTCCTCAGTGTGGGTTTGAGGTATGGCTGGCTGACGTCGACGAAAGTGCCATAAATGGTCATCCAAATCTCCGTTTTCCTTGTCAGCAGCACTTATCGGTGGATGCATTTGGTTTGGGGAAGCTACGTGAAGTGTGGCTGAATAACCCCATATAAAGAGGGGGCTAGGTATGCCCGAATATTCTTTTCTCACTTTTTGGAGCTTTTATTGCCCCACACTTCGTTCGTCGATGTCTTCGGAATTTTCCCAGCATTCTGCGTATCGTCTTCAAATGTACCTAGCCGACCCGTCACAAAAGTTCAGCGCCATAAAACCCCCTAGTGAGCGTTTATGAGTAGGCTTTCGAAACAAGATTTACTCGATCGACGTGAATTTATTCCAGGCTTACCTACATATGTTGCAAGCCAATTACTGCTCGATACTGGCCTTTAGAGGCTTTTCATTCACTGTAGAGGATCCTATGACGCGAAAAAATCGGTTTTAGAAGTGAGTCCAACTGAGGAAAATTGGTAACCGTTATTCTAGACAGATGAGAATCTCCAGTGTCTAAGGGCAGTCATGTTGCAATTTTTAAAAGTTGGGCAGCAAAAATATTCGAAAAGGCACTCTGGAACTTGATGTTATTAAGAGCAGACGTTATGTGTCCAGTTTCATTTCTATTGACCGATTTAAATCAGGCGATCAGGTATAAATCGTGCGATATGACCTTGTTACCGTCAAGGGCATGTCATTTCTGACATTCCCGAAGCTGGAAGTCGACTACGGTTCAAAAGTAAGTGACTATGAAGACTTCGCAATCTAGGGAGAGGAAGCTGACTCACTGCGGAGCGAGACAGAAAAACGTTTTGTCAAATTATGCACAAATTAGCTGTGTGTTTACACTTGCGACACGCAGAAAGGTAGATTGGAATCTTGCGATCAGCATCCCTGGGTGGAATTTTTTTCAGCGGCCTTAGGGCGGCATGATTTGAGTGCGAGATGTCAGCCACAAACGTGTGAGATGTAGCCGGCAAAATTCCAAACAAGCAAACAGTAAGACGCCAAGTCTGCAGCTCGCAAACTGGGCGGCGTGGTGGCAATAATTATGCAGCATTGTTCCGTACTTGCTGCTTATCTAGCAGTACTATTACAATTTGGTCGTGTTCCCTCTAGTTAAAATAACATGACCAAGTGGTGGCTTCTATTTCCCGTAGTACTTTTTATTCATGGAGAATTTTTTGAAGCGCGCACAAATCCCCGGCCCGTAATTAATGCCTACAGAGTTCTAGAGCCTGTTCATGTTGGGCATGGGAATATGGACCACCGCACTACAATAGACCTTGCCCCAAACTCTGGGGTTAGTGCTATGAGTGTTTGCGTGCTGAAATTAAGGGGCACGGCCACGGATAAGTGCCCGCCTGGACTTTAGCGTGGGGCCACGGAGGGGCTCCGCAACCTCGTCTCCGATCATTGCTCATTCGTTAACCATGATTTCACCACAGTTCTTCACTCAGATTGCCTCTTCGGCACAGCCAAAACTTCCTGAATTTGGAAGATGTGTCTGCGATCTTCATTATGGACAACACTTGTTTTTGACATGATTTCCAGGCAAATATTCAGTAACATTCCCCTTGTACCCTTCACAATTCTTGGTTAATAAAATGGGTTTCTCCTTCGTCACCGGCATACGCTGCACCAAATTTTCAGTCAGATAGTGTACCATTTGGATGGGTGTAATATTCCTCGATTTTGCCTTTTCTTTTTTAAGACTTCATTGGCTTCCATTTAACACAGGACACCCGTGCGGGGGAGCAAGCGGCAACAATTTTAGGCAACCAAGGTTCTCGAAGTGGCTTATGGTTGCCGCAAGTATCGGCTTCGAAGAATACAAACTGCTATTCTGCTCCAACCCCAGAGGCGACTTGACAGATGCAGTCGAAGTCGCAAATTGTGCGCAGCAGTGGGTCCGTGGAGGGAGTCAGAATCTTTAGTTGATGGGCAAAATGCCTTCTCTGGCCTCGGGAAAGCAACGGAATTCTCCCTCTGTGCAGCTGACGCCTAGTTCACCCTGTAGCGAAAAGTCCTCGAGACACAAAAATCCAGAAGTTGAATAGACGCAGGTAGTTGTTTGACTACAGCAACGAAGAAAGTACTAGAGACACCAAACACCAGAAGGAGGGAGAACGGTAGGCAATACACCAAGAGAGTTGCTTCAATCAGGAGGGCAGTGACCTTCGCCAAGCCCATGGAGATGGCCACTAGCGGTTCGAACGAGGTCTTTTGAACCATTAAGCAGGCCGATTACCGGGAAGATGGCGTCAAGGTCGTCCAGGAGGACCCGGCGTAAAACTTACCCATGAGACGAAAAGCTGCTCTGAGATCGCCGGTAGGGATTTGGGGAAGGTAGCAACACTGCAGGCACAGGACAGACGGAGCCGTATGCGAGGGAGAAAACTGTGTTCCAATCATGCAAGCCACCAATTTATAAGGATGCAGGCATGCTATTGACTATAAGTCCGAGTCCCTGAACTACTATTCAGGGGAAGGGGAGGAACCTAGCTCTGTTAGAGCCCATCGACAGCCTCCTAATTCGCCTAGTTCAAAACGCATGCTAGCAGGAAAACCTCTGTGATGTCACAGAAGCATCATACCCGTGCAGGAACAGTCACAACGTGGGTGCGCCACTACGGACCACCGGCATCCAATGTCTGCCTGGCTGTTTTTGTTGTCAATACTCGGCTCCTCGAATTAGGACAATGCTAAATTACACACTTCGCGCCCTGACGCCGGTTCCACGAAGAGGGGTAAGACTTAACGGGCAATTCCCTAAAATTATTCAGAATGATAAGGCATAATAGATAATGGGAAGTCTGATGAGCCCTATCACACGTCCAGTTCAAGAACCGGTCCTATAAAAATTGCAGAACCTGTTCGAAAACGGACTGACGACCGTTTTGCCAAGATGGCGATCATGCTGCAAAACCTGTGCGAGTTACTTAACGAAGAGCAGCGGCTTACGCTCTAACACTGTCACGTGAATGCTGGACGACGGGATGTAAAATATGGTTTATAGAGAGACAAGGCGCAGAGCACAGCTCCTCCGATTCCTTACAACGACGAGTCACATATAGGAAAATCACCAGCCTCTGTCTGGGGCGCTCCATAGAGGGATCCTTTCGGCTTATCATAGGCGCACAGGGTTAAGGCACAGCGATAGCAACTGTGATTCGGAAAATAGCATAACAAATACGAACTGGCACGAGTTCCGTCAACGCCGCGTCCAGGCACATGCAAGGGTTTGGCCCGATCAGTCAGGACGACTTGAACACATATCGAATAGACTTGTCATTGTGGCAACCGCGGACACATCTGCCAATCTCTGGCATCTTGTTATGTACTTTGAAAATAGGCAGGCAGCGTTTGGCCCCAGTTACCAGTGCATGGACAAACCTCACACGTGTGCTAAAATACAGTCGGAGTGACTTCTGTGCTGAGGGGACCCTTGGTGTGGTGGATAGCTCAGTGACGGGTTCAGACTGTTAGATGCATCCAACGTGATCTTCAGGAGGTCGCCCCCAGGACATGCCATCCTGCCACCGTCAATTCCGCCAAGCAACAGCACAAATGCAGTTATTCTGTTCGTCGACGACAAGATGGCAAGGTGAAGGAGTCAATTTTTTCAGAAACATTGGGTTTTAAATGCTTGTTGAAAGACGTAAGCAACGGCCAGTGGAGGCACTTTTCTATGCCTTTCCCACCAGATAGGGTCGAAAAAGTTCAGTCACATCGCGAGAGCCAGCATGGTGGACAACATTCCCGACGCCACTACCAGTGAAGGAGTGAAACACTACTTAAAACACAAAGCGCTCAAGAAAGTAAATCTAACACGTTGTTGAAAATGCATGTAGAAAATCGGCAATGCGAACTTTTAAAATCCTACACTCTGGCGCGATGTGTACAATGGGGCTAAAAACAAAGTGGCTAAAAAGAAGCGGAAACTTGGCGGAGTTGGCTGATTATCTCAATCTGTTGGGCGGATAAACGGTGGGCGGAAGAGGACAGGAAGGCATATATAGGGACCAGCCAGGCATTCTTCTTGCAAGGCGACTCAGAGAGGACGTGAGCAAGCTGGCGCAGCCACGAGGAAAGCGCAGCGTCCGAGGCACCGGTATCCTCCTGAAATCCAGCAAACCGTCCTTTTTGACAAAGCACGTGAATAGTGCGGTCGGTGGCAATCCGTAGGGGTATGGTGAATTTTGGTGACGACCCAAACACCCACTCCCATGAACTGAAGGTCGCCAAATTCTTGGTAAATTCAGCACTATCAACCCAACGCGCCTCCTCACCAGGGTTCACGTTGATTACCTTGCAAGCAGAGTCTGGTGCAGAATCCTATGGGCAGGAGGTTTAGATAAATTACTGGTTTTAAAATAGTGGCAGTTTTCATATGATCACGAAGTAAAATGGCAGGCAAAGTGGAAACTCAGGAAGCGGCCCTTTGCTCAAGCGAAGAAAAACGAATCCCAACCCCGAAATAAGAAAACCTATTTTTCTGGTCGTAATCACCGATATTCCACAGGATGAAAGAGCGGCTCTGCTGCTCCCAAAGTTTAATCCTGATAAAAACAGCGGCCTTTTTGAATAGACTTTCACATATATAGCAGCATCCGAGGAGCGACAAGCTGGTCATGACACCAATAAGCCCTCCAATGTGTGCAGTGTGAAGACCAAGGCGCTGAAAGTTGTAGCTTGGAAGGCCACAACGCGACGGATTAACTCTGTCCTCATCCAGACAGAAGCTCAGGCCGCAATGACCACTTCTCAACGCTGCCTTGATGGCAACTGTTTTCGATCAGATCAGAGGACCCATGCTTCGAAGTTAGAATCAATTGTGTGTAGGGACCAGTGCAAGTGACACAAGTAGACGCTGATCGAGTCGAGTCAGTCATCAGTGTCCCGATGGTGCAGTGGCCAAAATTGTGTCCACATCCATCCTGCCAATAAACTACGGGCCGTCGATAAAGTTTTTAGAGCTTTGGGGTGGGAGGAGGTGGATTTGTCTAAACAAAAAACGGGAACGGCAGAGGACACTTTTTGCCCAAACAGTCCTCGAACGGGCCGACGAGCGTTTGACCTTCCGGTAACCAAGCTTACACTTTCAATTCTATGGATATGTGATGCGTAAGTTGGCTACAGTCCTGAACATTAATTCGCTCCACTATAGGCATGCTTTTTAAAGCGTTTAAACTGCAATAATACTTAACGGCTCATGGGCTGGGACACAGAGGATAGTTGAAAACCACCCAAGCGGAGGCCAGCTTTGCAAAAATGTAGGGTCAACCTACAAAATGACTTTAATGGAAGCCAAGAATGGTACTAGGGGACTTCGGTCGGATTAAAAGTACCCACTTAGTTTTGGCTTCATCTGCAGATAGAGGGATATGAAACAGCTCACAGCCCCGAACTAGACTTTAAGTATCAGTTGGTTGCAGGTGACTTCGATTTTTTTGAAGTCCGCTAGTCCCCGCCATTCGGCCAGAAAAAAGTCCGCAGACATACCCGAGGCTGCGGATGTTGGTATGGAAGTCAGGCTGTTTACTTTCCCACCCGAGCACTGCCATAAGTAGTTAGCCAGGGAATTAACTTCTGACTGTTATTTAGGCTGTTAGGCAGCAACAGGGCCAAAATGGCTTGATGAAGTAAATTAAATTAAATTTCAAGCAAAGAATTTGCAGACTCTGCACAGCACTGCGTCCTCAAGCCTATGTCTTTCGCCCAAAAGTTCCTAATACCGTTCTTGTATGTTTGAACTTTTTGTTAATTTCGGCAACTTAAAGAGGACGGCGCATACTTTCGCAGTAAGATAGTAGGGCGGTTGATTACGGCTTGCAGTTTCAAGGCACGCAGACAATATTTCCCACGGATTTGGTTATAAAAAGGCTCCTGCATCAAAGCCTCATGTGCGCTTATAAGTGTCAGGTTGCATTTGCTTTTGCTGAAGTAAAAGCGCCAGGAGTGGGTTCCTGCCGTAAAAGGCGTCCTTTTCAATTCCTAACCAGAAAATCCGAATGATAGGCAAGACTTGTGTACCCTTTCAAGAGGCGAAATTGTGCATGAAGGGGGATGCATCCGGAATTGTGGAGGGCAGGACGGCATGTACAAAGTGATATGATGCCACCTGGTGTGAGCGTGCTTAACCGGCCGTTGGTATAAAAAGTAATCCTGCAGCCAATCAAAATTCCTTTAGTCGTATGGAGATCATGATTCTGAAAGCCGGCCTCTCTTCCATTGCGACCTGAGAACGCCAGTTGGAGCTTACTTTCTTTGAAAGGTCTTCCAGCCCTAGCAATGCAAAACTCTGAAATGACCTGGTTGTAATCGCCAAATGGGCAGAATTAAAACAGTGGGCCAGCGATAAAATACAAAACTATTATAAAGAGTCAATCCTGTCATTGTCCGAGCGAACATTTCTGAACTATATTCCTTGCATGGTTACCTGTGGCGCCATAAATTGCAGAGGTATTCAGTGTGTACCCAATGTAGCTACCAAACACCGTGCAGTCGACTAAATGATCTCTAGGGATGATTCAATAAAAGACGAACCTTCGAAATGGGGGCATTGGCGTCTTGATCACAGCCGGGCATCCCTGAAACAACAATTTCGCGGATTGAATATCTCTGCGGGTCCACAATTACTCTTCAAGCCATGATGCGGGGAAATAACGCCATAATTCATGAGGTGAGATGAGTCGTAGATCTAATCGGCCTGCGATGTTAGGGATACTAACGTAGTTCAACAAAGACCGATAAGCCTAAACAAATGTGAGGCATGAGCCTATTTGGATGAACTCCAAGCAATCGGGCACACGCGTCGGCCGAAACAGCGAGGGGGTGCTCACAGCATTACCCGGTTTCTGCTGACCGCGGAGTAATCAGTGGGGAAGTTGATTTAACAAACGTCTAGGTCACCCATTCACAAGAGGACATGCCTTGATAATATGATAGCGCCAAGGTAGCTAATAGTAAGAACGCTGGATTCACCATATGAAACAATAATCGCCTGTCAAGGGCCTGTGGAGAACATGAAGAGGCGCAAACGAGTGCTGGAAAAATGCGTTCAGCTGTCGAGCCGATGCACCTTGGGCGACTACGGGCTGACCGCCACTCCGACCTCTGTGACAGGCAAAATATTTCGCCGTCGTGAAATGTGGATTGGAGCGGGGATCAGTAAACACGTATTCATGGAATGTCCTCGCCTCCGTCGCATTCCGAATCATGACTGGAATGAACATGGGGCGATTTCTGACCCAAAAGCAGCCGATCCTCGGGGAGCGGTGGCAAAGTCTGGGCAATACTATGAAGTCCGTTACGCCTACGACTCAGCCCCGCCCTTGGGAGAGGGTATACTGTTGGCAGCCGGACAATCGTCAAGGTAGGGCAGAATGGGGCGTTCGATGTAGCAGCTGCAAAACCCTGGTCCACGAAATAGTGAAGCCTCCTAATAAGTGCATCCCTGCATCGACGGAGCCTACAGCTACCTGTTCGACGTTTCCTGGAATACGTACCTTCCAACAGAGGAGGCTTGCTGCTAACCAATGGAACTGGTTATTTGTGACTATCATTGCTTTATACAGCAGATTTGCTTCGAAACAACACCGCTTTACAATTTCTTGCTAAGATCTGCAAAGGTTAACAAGTCGTTTCGAAAAAAAGTCGACACGAGGCCAGAAAAAAGGGTCCATGTCCATTCTAATGCACAACGGCCAGTTAGGAAAGTACCATTTGATAAAAGCCTTATGTTCGATTATTTCAGTGTGATCTCAATCAAAAAGGCCGAAAAGAAGGGAACTTGTGGCGGGATGTTGATAACTGCATTGGTGACTGCAAAGCATCTTACCATAGAGAGCCAGGAACGGAAAGCATCAAATAAAACTGATTTCAGCCCCTCGCCTGGGATCTGGAGGTTGGCAACTTGACTTCGAACGCTCCTGGAGGCCTTGGTCTCCACTGCTACTACTACTACTACTACTACTACTACTACTACTACTACTACTACTACTACTACTACTACTACTACTACTACTACTACTACCACTGCTACTACTACTACTACTACCACCACCACTACTACTACTATTCTTATTATTATTATTATTATTATTACTACTACTACTACTATTACTACTACTACCACAACAACTACTACTACCGCCACCACTACTATTACAGCGTACTGGTTGTGCCGCCGACGAGTGATCCACGCCTGAGGCCATTGTCACCTAGCGTGTATTCAGCCCCGCAAAGAGCCAATTACGGGGGGGTCCACTTTACTGCATCAAGAATAAGAAATGCGTTTCAAAATTCACCTGCCACCGTCAAGAGGACACTTCGGCACTGCCATAGTGACAACCAGAATTAGTTATTTCGGCATCTGTTGTCCTGGCCGCAACTTAACCGAAACTATGCTTTTAGGAAACGGAGGTTTTCCTCTTCCTCCCCGGTGAATCCTCGGCAGTTGACAGGAGTGAATCGATTTAGTCTCTGAGCTTTGAAACCAAGAAGCCCAACTCACAAATTCGAGAAGATGCAAAGCTCCGGCTGCCTACTTTTATTCATCACCAAGAACAGTAATGTGAAAGGAGCACTCCTGGCCGGCCTGCTTGTCGCACTTAGGTCGCGTCGGCCACTCTCCAGATGGACAGAACAACTTTGGCTGAAGTTGAATTGTCTCATTGTTTCTGAGATAACCCGCAGTCAAAGACGTTGGGTTCATAAGGGTACGGTTGCCCTCTATCCGTAAGAGGTACTATATTCTATGACTTGTCACTTCGTGAAAATGTGGCTGAAATATCTAGTAATTGGTTTGAGTACCGCCCTCAGTCCAGCGTTTCCCTGTTCCTAGACATAATAAATTGTCCTTTTCATGATTCGGGGCCAGCCTCAGTAATAACAATCCCTGTAACGTCAATAACGGGTTCAATCGCCGACCCCTCACATGGGGAAAACCAGAATTAGGCAACAACTTTACGGGCACGCCTACCGAGGTTCTAAAGTTAACAGGTGGCTGTCACAAACCACTGCTCGATCCAACCTGTAAACAGACACGTGGGCATAGCAGAGAGCTTTTCCCGCCTCGTGCTAGCCAATGAGAAGAGTGGTTTCACAAAAACTCACCCATCCCCTGAAGGATCCGGCTCATTCTGCTGCTGTTGCTGCTGTTTTCGTTCGAGAGCTGCTCGGACGGCCATTGCGGCCGAAGTGGACGCTGAACTGCAGAAGGCACCCCTAAATCCCGTCGGCTGACGGATGCCCAACTGACGCATGAGGCGCAGTTCCTTCTGGCGCAGTTCGAAGAGACGTTGCTTCAATGCCTGACGGGCGGCACGGCTAGGCGCACCGTTCTTGATGGCTGCCAGACGTCTTAGAAGGGCAGAAATACTTGACAAAAGTCCACGGACCTTGTCTGTCATTTGCATCCAACGCCCTGTTAGGACTAGTTGAAAGAATAATAAACCACCAGTCACGAAGGTGGGAAACTTTATCCGATCGCCCTTACAATAACACAATGACCTCCCGTGATATCTGCGTTAACAACTATATTAAAAGTAACGAACTCAAAAGCAAACTTTTGAGTGCCAATTGGCCAGATCGGGAAGTATATCTGGACTCCAAAATAAAATGGTATCGGCGGCATACTTTTGATATGAGCTTATCCCTTTCCCTTAAGCAGTTTTAAAATGACATTATTTCACAGTTAACAAACTTTTTGGTATTCAGAAGACCACTAGGCGAGCATACGTTTGCTTTTGACAAATTATCGTCAAGTCAGTACATTTATATGGGACGGGGTAGAAGTAAGAACATGCCAGACAGTTTGTCGAAAGTGAATATATGTTCGGCAACTAGTCTTCTGACTACTGCCATGGAAATTTTCGCAACTCTTTTCAGTCCATACAAGTTGTTTTATATCGCTCTCGGTAGACGAGGACTGGGCAGGTGGTTCCCTTACGTCCATCCTCTACTGGTCCCAGCATATTGTATGCGCAAGTGCTTCATGTATTCATACTTTCCAAACAAATCTTGATGGCCTAGGTGACCTTTAGATATGCATTTATAAAATAAGATGGGCTCCACTTTAAGTATTCTTGAGGATGGTCGATTACAAACGAAGCGATCCTAATATGCGTACTAGAGTACGACAGCGGGACATGGTCCCTCTCGGTGGTTAATGTGTTTTGAGCCACAACGACCAGTCCTAGGGTAAAATACGTTAAGATGTGTGGAATACCTAGCGAATTTACGACTACATGTGACGGAAGTCGCATTGTTGGCATCTACGCGTCGAATAAAATACCGATACTTTCTCGGAAATATGCGTCATGTTGACTAGCGCATTAACCTGCATGTAGGTTGGACACCGTTTTCAAGAAGTTCGGAAAATGGCGACGAAACCGTTCTAAAAATGTAGTGACGGACATAGTCACTGATCGACGTATGCAGGGTTTGATGCAACCGCTTCTTGGTACCAGACTGGCGCTGTTATATTTGTGAACAAACTGCAATCCCACCACTTCACGTAATCAGACAATACTATTTTAACAAAGTAGTGGATAGCGTTGGTCAAGTAAATGCGTTTCCCGTCTCAGAGTGTCAGCTACCGTGCTCATCGGTCGCAAGTGCAGTTAGCACTGGCATATTAGTTGTCTCCAAAAGATCGTGCCTTCGATATTCTATTAAATCATCTAGTGGAACTTTAAATCGCTCAGATTGGACACGTAAAGTATGTTTTTGTATACGGAAAACGCGATGCATTCCCTTACCAATGCGCACTTTTCTGCAGATCTTTAAGATCCGGAATACGAATTGTCATAAATAGACTATATATGATCAAGTGCTACTCGGTAATGGTGTTGTACGGCAGCTATTTCCAACAGGTTGCGTCAGGAAGCTATCTCCGCCCAGCAAGCATCAATGTAGATTTTAAATAACGACGTCCCACGTAGATATGGCTGTGTCTATTGTTTGCATGGACACAATTTGGGTCGCCTTTCTTATTCGACGTTCGTTTTCGCAAGATCCTCTACTAATAACGCTCCACTTTGTGGATTATTTCAAGGTGGTATTAGCGGAGGCTCGCCACAGAAACAGCCTTCGAAAAGTTGCGGTATGACTATTAATTTCAAACACTTGTCCAGATAATACTGCATGTACAACTCAGTAAAGTCGCTACTTCATATTGCATGGTAACGCGGAGAGTAAGTACATGGGCCTGGACAGAAAGTCTCACTAAGATGTGCTCTGAAATAGCCTGTTTATATACAATATATGTCAGTTACGACACATTTATTAATGATACTACAGTTGAAAGCGGCCGTCAAAAACACTGAAAACCAGATATTATTTGAACACAGAATTTGCACGATAAGTTATGTTCACAATAACATGACCATATTTCGCATCTAGATGTTCAAGTAAAGCGTTGGTTTACGGACTTTAATAAGACGCAAAAGCATGATGGTTAATTCCACCGTATATGGTTCTTCCTATCATTGCATTTGCCCTGCATGCAAAACGTTTTTCAAAATGGGATTTTCATCTGTCCATTGTGCTTATAGCCCGCTGTTTACAGTAGACTTTTAAAATGTTTAATGGCGTCGACTGAAGACAGCCTAGTTTTGCGATTCATCTATTAAACATGCACTTTTTGCCCCGCATGAAAGCAACCGAAGGCCGATTATCTGTTCGCTGCTGTTTTGGACGAAAAAGGAATCTCGCGCGTGTTCCAGCATCACTTAGGGAGAGGGTACACTTAGGAAGAGATCTGAGGATGTGTCGGAACAGAAGTGGTGTTTAAACCAAGTTCCAACTGCGACACTTGTGCCAAATTCCACACTTGTGCACAAAACAGGACGGCGGCCCATTTTTTGTGTGTTCATAGAAGAACAATGTTCGTGATCTAACTTTTGCTCTCCATTCTGTCAAACGAGGTTTTGACAATTGATTATAAAACAGGAAAGTTTTTTGCGCCAGCCTTATTTCATTCGGTTGTATGAAATCGGAGCGCTGATGTGCAATGTGCAGCTGCTGGCCAACAGGGATTTCTTAGGGAAGTCGGCTACATCGACTTTGTTTGGGAAACGTAGAGGATCATCGAGTGAACAACAAATTACGATTTTTTAAAGCTTTTAGATAGCCTAGAGATGCTCCGCCATTTACACTCAGAATTCGTGGCTGAATCTTTTATGGATGTCGAAGTCGAGACGAAGTAATGGGTTTAATATGACAAGTTTTTAAAATTTCAAAATGTCATCAGTGGTTTATCAAACAGACCTAGAAGCGTTCTATGAATAATTTAAGTGAATTTCTATAGCTTAAAAACGTTAGAGATTGCCGCAAATCTTCTCTGGACCATTTCACACCAGGGTGGGGAGTATGAAATACTGAAGGTCAGTGCAGTGTGAAAATTCATCTCAAGTGATTGAATTTTTATTATCGCAAGGATTAATAATGAAAAAAACAGTGCCATGCTAGGTTCTGATCTGATTATATCTTAAAGGTCAGCTCTAAAGCCTAAAATAGTGAAACCGTTTTTGAAGCACTATCAGTAGTTTTCCGTCAGCGAAGGTACCCCTGTTCAATACATCAATAAATTTCAGTCAGTATCCAACCACCAATTTGATGAATTCCTTAGAATCAGAAAATGCAGTTCAAAACAATTAAACGCAGTTGCTTGTTAGTAAGTACTCCTTCCATTTTCATGCGGTTTTGCTGTCCGGCCGTTTGTAAGTAAGATAGTAATATATCTGTGCAATTATTTACTGTGCTGACATCAGCTACTGCGGAATAATCGCAGTAGCTGATAGCTTTCAGTTCAAATATTCATATCAAATTTCGGAACGTGCCTAAAAAGGTCTGTTCTGAAGGACTTACTCCAAGTTCGCGCATTTATTTCCTCGGAAATTAAGCAAGGCAAGTAATGTGTCTGTAATAGTGGCTCGGTAAGGAAACACGAAAGCCAAAGCCCACCTGATGGACAACTTCCGATGCGTAGGCACTATTGAGACCTTCTGGGTATCCAGGAGCGTGGTGCTGGAATGCCACATATCCTTACGAATGTGCCAGCTGTCAACGGCAAAGATAAATCGATTAACACCCATCGGGCTAGTACATATATATGCGAAAGTGGTCAAAAGAGGTCCCATCAAACTACCCTAAGCCACCGGGTCAAAATCTGTTAGCGAGAGCAGAGACGACTGCCTTATGCACACAAGAGAACCTGGTACAGGGGTTACTTATTCCGGGGAGCAATTGCGTTGAGAAAAAGAACCGAACATCTAAGAACTTTGTGGTATTACAAATTCTGACCCTCCTTACTGTCACCAATCAAAGGAGAACACTATTTTTACTGTTTAATGATAATCTATATATATAAAAATGGAAGGTTTTTTTTTCTGTGTTATATCTAATCTCCGAAAGTGCTGCACCGATTGCGCTGAAATTTGGACACAACCCGACCCGCGCATAGGGCCGGGTTTTTGGCTGTTCAATTGTGTAATTATGCCGATGGTATGCCTGTGATGGGTAAAAAACTGGATATTTTCCGGCATAACAACGCCACCAGCTGCGGCCACTTGACCTACATCGCGCGCGGACACATGTGCGCCCACACTGCGGCCACTTGACCGACATTCGCTCAAACCCACGTGCTCCGCCCGACAGCCGCGCTCACCCCTCCACCCACCCTGCAGGCACTTGAGCAGGCCCTCCACCCTCGCTGGGCCGATGCAATATGGGCCGCCAGAGCAAACCACCCACCCTGCAGCAAAAAAACACGCAACACTTGGACGCCACTTAAAATTGTCCAACAGTCCATATAGTAGGGCCGTCACCGCTGCCTCGGGGATGCTCGGGGGGTGAGGACTGGATGCAATTAACACCAGCGCCTATCCCCCCCCCCCCGCAAAACCCACATAATGGGGCTCTCGCCCAGTGTCCGCTCAGTGTTGTGCTGCTCGGCTTGCGGAAGCCCGGTTGCGGTCACGGCTACCGCGTTCTGCAGCTTCAGGCCTGCTTCGTTCAGCAACAGGATATACACAGCCGGCTGGGGGTGGCCGAATGGCGCCAGCGCGGAACAGCAGACCAGCGTCAAACACGACTCCGCGCTCAGCATGCACGCAGCCTGATGCTGTTGTAAACGACGGTACGACAACAACCGTTGGAAGACTAATGACTTTACGGTAAGATGATACCATATATACCGGCAGTCGGAGACCGATTTCAACGCAACATCCATTGACTTATCGGGATGGTACCGATGGATATCACTTCGACGTTAAGATGATAAATCCAGTCATTTACGAGGTAACCCACATGAAATGCAGCGCAATGAACCACTACTCCTTCCGACTTATGATTCGACAGAATGTAAGTAATCCCCATTCGAAATGCAGTAAATTGCCTCAACAATGCA